GGTTGGATCTCAGTCGCCCCGTCAGCCCGAGAAATCCGCATGCGAAGTAGGCAATACTCCGTACAAAACCCCAGTACGAAGACAAGCCACATCAAACCATGCCCCAAAACCACGCCTCCCCCCCCCCTCCCCTTTTCCAGGCCAATCCCCGTCGTGACCTCATTTTTAGGGCGGGCGTCCGGTGGGCAGTTCTGTTCGCTGGGCAGCGCTCGGGTAGCCGAGCCCTTTTGCTCCCAGGGCCGAGCGGAGGTGTGCGTGACGCTATGACCCCCCAGGGACCTAAGTGTAAGGGGAAGGGGGCAGCGGGGGCCACCAACAACCATCCATCAGGCGTGGACACGGCCCAGCAGGTCGATCAAGCTAGGTGTCTTGAAACAACTTTTACTAGAAGCAATTCTCGTTTGCTGCCTGGTTACGCTTTCGCATAGGCACAGTAGTCTGGTAGTGCGTACGGAGTGCGAGTTTCTAGAAATGACTCTAGCGGAGAGTAAACTTTGAAGTAGAGACACCGTGTGCGTCCTGCCCTGCCTCCCCGAGAGCTGGAAATAAATCCCTTCTCCCTTCACAAGACATATCCTGCCGAGCGCTACGGGCGCCTGACTCAACCCTACGGCTCACAAGGGCAGAGGGGAAAAAAGGAAGCTTTCAGCTGCTCCACTGGGCTTGAACCCGTGACAGCGGGAGCGGGAGCGCGTGACAGTCATTTATTACGGCAGAAAGCCTCCCCCCCCTCCTCACGCCACAGGCCACATGGGCGTTTGTCACACACGCACTGCGAGAAAACAATCTTTCCGCCGCCCAGAATAAATAATAATGATAAAATATGTGGTGACATGACTTTACTTAATTTAACCATGAAGTTGTACGTAGATGAAAATTTGCTTGCCCATTCGGTATTTTACTGTCGATAGAATCTCGCCTATTGGACAATTGACACGACAAGTCAAGTAGATACTGCTCTGCTGCTGTTGGTGCCGCCCTGCCCGGGGGAGGAGGTCGTCAAACTAGGCCCGTCCGTCAACGCCCGTGGGCACCGCGCCAAAGGTGGTCGCCTCATTCACGGCGCAGAGCGCACCGGGCCAGCCCAGCCCAGTTTCCTCCTCGAGATCGCATCAACGGGGTGCGGCCGGCACCCCCCGCGAGGGTGTCACCAATTGGGAGCACGGCGGCGGCGACTGTGTTGTCCGCCCGCCTGTGGGTCACCAAGTCACGAGGGAACGCCAAGATACGTGCCCGTTCTCGCGGAATGGGCCATTTCGGGACGTGAGCGTGGAGGCCGCGGAGGAACGCGCAGACGCAGATCCCGGGGGAGCGCGGCTGCGGGTATATGCACGCTGACGTGGTGGGGTCAGTATTACCCGCGAGTACTGTGCGTGCAGCCCGGGGCGGGTACCGCGCGGGTACCATGCGCCCAGCGCGGTACTATTTCACCCGCCTGGCGCGCGGCCTCGTCCTCGCACCCGTGTCCTTATTGGGTACCCGTCCAGAGGCCCCCCTGGCCCTGGCCCGGCCCCTCGACAACTCGCTCGGCGTTGGCTCGGGACGGAAAACACTCCGCCCGGCCCCGCCCGGCCTCGCACATGCACGCCGCGGGAGGGGAGGGCGGCTGGAACAGACTGTGTTCTAAATTTACACTCGTCTCCTTATTTTCCCACCCGAGTGCAGCGCGCGCCCCGTGTGAAGCACGACGGAGGCCCCCGCCCCGCCCGGGGTTCACACGGGGGGCCGTCCCTCAGCCGGGACGGGGTGATAGGGCGCCCGAGACGACGCTCTGAGTACTGCATCCATGACTCACACCCGGGCCGCGCGACCCGACCCGACCCTCTGCTCCGCGATGCCGCTCAAACTTCGCGCCGCGGGCGCCACCGCCACCGCGCCTCCGGGCCGCGCGCGGAACGTTTCGGGAAACCGGTCGGGCGGGAGTGCCAACCCGCGACCACAACGCATACTCGCGCCCGCCCCTCCCCTTCTCTTCCTCTCCGGGTAGGGATCACATTTATAGAGGTGACTCAGCTCTCATCAGGACACGGAGCCTCCTCGAGAACGGCCCCGAAAGACACTTGCAAAGACGAAGCCTCTTTCGTCCAACCCCCGCCCGCGCCGCTGTGGTGCAGCAGGCCGTGTTCAAACGGTTCAAATTGAACGCCCTCATTAACGACCGATTAGCATGAGGCCGACACTGACAGCGATGACAGCCGACAAGGGAAAAAAAGAGGATAAATCGGCGGCGATCGGCTCGCCTTTCACCCTTTCGCAGATCGCGAACGGTGTCCGGACGTCCCTGACACACAGCTGACGGCTGACGTCACTTATCGCCCTTGAAATGGCAACACGATACCACATCAAAAGCAGCGCGCCGCTTTCTTCCGTCCACGCGACGGAGAGGAGCAGTTTGGCTCGGACCGCACCGCCCGTCCCCTACACTGCCAGCGAAAAGAAAAGGCACGGGGCGGGCGCCACGAACGGGGAGGGCAGACATAACCTCAACTTGTCAGGCAGTCTGCTCCTTGTTTGTTGTTTTCGTAATCCGATCAGGCCCACCGCAGGGCCGAGTCAATGAATGAAGCGCTCCCTACGCCTTCAGCAGGGGCCTAACTGACGCCCCGCACACGCACACGGCCGATGTTGAGCACCTCCCCGAAACTTGTAGCGATCGAAATTGCTCATTTTATGACAGCTGGGGAGAAACTCGCTGACACCATTTCGGAGGGCAGCAACGCCCTTGTAACCTATACGGGCGGCCCGCGCGCGGCGCTGCAGACACGCACGCACACGGGCGGGTACCACCAGGTACTGGGTACCTACAACGCTGAAGCCGAACGACGACCATAGCGGGCGGTAGTCCTGCACGTCCTGGGCGATCTTCCTCACGACGATCTCCTCCTCCACCTCGCCCATGGTGGAGCTGGTTGCACACGACGCACTCTCGCGCACGCACGTTCACTTCTTGACGATGCGTTCACAGAACCGACGTACGGTACGGGCGTGCCTCTCCCTTCGCCGCACCGCGCCCCACTGTCTGTCTCTCTCTTTCTATCATCCACGACGACGACCACCACCACCACCACCACTGCCGCCGCCGCCGCACCGCCGCGTCCCTGCCGAGCCGCGCCGCCCGCCGGGCACCGCGGGTCCCTTCTCCCCCCGCGCCGCCGCGGAGCGCGCAGAGCCCTCGGCCAGCCCTCGCGGCCTTGCCCTCCACCGGCCCCTCACCGCGACCCCTCGGGGTCGGAGAGGGCGGGGCACGGGGCTCCATCTAGCTGGCTCCAACTTGCATCTCCGAGCCTTATCCAGACCAGCTGGCGGGTCGCCAGGCGCCCGAGGACTGCTGGCCAAACCGTCTGG